AATAAACCTGCCCTGAGGAGCCCAGCATACGACAAACACACAGCAGGCACTTCGGAGATTTGCGCGAATGAAACGCGCTATATGACACAGCACAGGCAGTCGCTCTACAACCAATTACAAGCCTTGTTGGCTAAGTGGTATAGCGTCTCACTAGTACCTAGTGACATGAGAAGATCGGCGGTTCGATTCCGCCACGAGGCATTTCTTTTGGTGTTGATCACGATTTTTGCTTCGTCGACGACGGCAACACGTAGATTGGTGGATTGATCACTTCTAGATAGGTCCCCGAGGTTTGGTGCGGCCAATGGGAGCGAAATAGCACAGAAACCCATGTGTAGTAGGTGCCTGATGAACCGATGAAAACTCCGATGTCGATGACATCTATCCTGCTCACCGTGGTTTGGAATGTCAGAAGGATAAATGCCATTACTATCGCTATCTGATACATCACTACACAAGGCAAGTCCAGCTCACAGTCTTATAGTTGCCTTTGAATCCCCTCGAGCATACAGAGAAGATGACGACGCTTAAGCCGCCACGGCCTCACCCCCCTCCGTCTCATCCTCAATCTTCGTCTTGATCAACTCATACAAAATATCCGTCCTCATCGTATACTTGGTCCCCTTGACGACATCGTCGCCAGAGTGATAAAGCCGGCTATGCTGAAAGATGAGCACCCGCCCCGCCTTAGGATCAACATCAACCTTCCTCTTCTCATCCCCCGACAAGAACGATGTCGCGCCACCAACCAAGTCGGCACCGCTGTCCTTACCCGCCTCAGCGACAGAGTCATTGAGGTAAAGATGAACGGTATAATGCGTCCGGAACACAGTCCCATCCTCCGCTTCTTCGCCATACGGTCCATCGCAATGCGCTATATCAATGTCAATAATCCATCATAACAGGGAATAGAGGGGCAAGGAACTGCGATGAACTCACGTCTAAAAAACTGCCCCTTCTGATACTTCAAAAACCTCATCCGCTTGTTAAACCTCTTAAATGCCCACCTCGTCTCAAACCCCTTCTCCGGCCTCCTCACCCCCTCCATCCCAGCCAGCTGCGCTTCCAACCCCGGCGCAAGCCTACACCGGCCCCACAACCGATCGACAACTTCCTGCTGGTCCCAGATAATTCGATCGCTATTCCGGTACTCGGGCTCCAGAATCTCCCACCCGGGACCCATATTAACCATCGCCGGCCGCCACGGCTCGTCCTTGTCCGGGTCCGGACCGCGGTCTGTGGCGGAGGCCTCGGCCATGCGGAGGAGCTGGGCACATTCGTCCGGGGTGAGGACGTTGTCCAGGACGACGGCATACAAGGGCCCGTTTTCGGGGAGGGCGGTCTTGGACCAGTCTAGTTTTTGGAGGGTTACGGCGGGAGCGGAGGCCGGGAGGGGAACGGAGAGGAAGTCGTGCGGGATCGGGACTTCGTTGGACGTGTAGGATGTTTTTTGGGGTTTAGGAGCGGCGCGTTTGGCGGGTTTGGGCTTGAGGGCCGTGGGGATGAGGTCTGAGATTGGCATTGTGTCGGATTTCTTTTTCGTGGTAGGTGGAAATGTGTTTTTTTTTTTTTGCCAGTAGACCTTTGTAACGCTTTAGGTCGTGTGGTTGTGGTGTTTGATATCGGTGGGTGTTGATGCCTTGTGGTTGTTGTGGTGATTTGTTGTTGTTGGTGCTGTTTGTCGAACGACAATGGCTGCTTGATACAGGGTCGGCCAACTTCTTGAAGACTGGGGAAGCAATAAAAGACACAGGGACCACCTCTTTTCTCTAAAAGACACTTCAGCAGATATTTACAAAAGGACAGAAATGCGACTGCCTGGCAAAGTCGTCAAGGCGCAAGCGTCAGGCTTCGCCTCATAAGTTGGTGACTAACAATGCGGCGGAGTACGGATTGGCCTCAAGTGGGCAGACTTAGGGTATGTAAGCACTTGTTCCCGTCAAACCAAAACACACCAGGCTGCTTTGTTTCGGAAAATACGGCCTACAACAGACGTGTCTTCAATCTTCAACAATATCTCCTAGAAAAAAAAATGCCTCGACATCTGCCTTGTAGACTCACGAATGGAGACGAAGACTGTTCAAGCGTGGATGCCTGCGATCGGATGTGAGTGCCTAGTGCGGGGTCAATCTCGCAAAGCTGATTGGCTCTGTGCGATGTCTTCTGTGCTGTGTACCTTGCTGCCTTGAAGTCTCGAAGCCCCCCGATACTCACTTGACCTGTAAAAGTTATAATCTGCATGAATATTCTTCTTGGAATTTGATATCATTTCTTTGTCGCTGTGCATTTTCCTTTCCGTCTTGGCTAGTAATGTCTGCTGTTGATGGTGCAGGCTACATAAACTGTGAGCTGTGGCGGGGTGCCTAATTGTGGCTGAACCAGATGAGAAGTGAAGGATTCTCGCAGATGGGCATTACCTATCGAGTACGAGTATTCCTCGTAAGCGTCTTCTTGAAAAATCACATGAATGGGAGAATTGATTACGAGGGACAAACAGAACAATTTGTGAAAGCTACGATAGATGTGTTCTTGTGTAAGGTACCGTTGACTCATCTCAAGGTGAGGTGTCTTGGGTATGCGAAAATGTCCCCCTGGCCATCACTGCTTGACTTACCTCCTCGAGACCTGCCGTTTGCCGGTACCATGAGAACAGACCACGCTTTACATTACTTGTTCTCTCTGAGTTTGATACGTTGTTAACAAGAATCAAGGGGGAACTTGCCTGATGATTCGAAGTGAGATATTTCTAGTGCTATGAGAAGTTACCCCATCTCATATCGGGTGTTCTCTCTCTGAGTGCGATGAAATAATAATTAACATTGCCTGGAAACTTCTATGATTAGATAAAGGAAGTATGGCGAGACCCTGAGGTTATATTACCAATAGGACTGGATGCGGAATGATCATGGAATTCGCTTTCAAGATAAAGTTTCTCTTACACTCTACTTATACACAAGCAGAGTCCGAAAAAGCGTATGTTTTCAATATTCATCCATCCTGATATCAGCAACTCATTTCCAAGCTCAGCACTATCAAACCGGCTCATCCCGTTCCTTCGTCCTCCCTGCCCCTTTACTCTCTTCAACCTCGACCCCTTCATCCAACCCAGTCTTCGTCTCAGTATGCATCTCACTCAACTCAACCTGCCTTATGAAAAATGTAGCAATAAACCCAACCCCAGACATGACGCAAAAGAAGACCCAAATCTTACTCAACCCATCCGTCACCGCAAGCCTCACAACCCGCCTCTGCCCCTCACTTAAACCCTCCATCACACCGCGCGCCGCCGTCGCAATCGTCCCTCCCCTCCCAAACTTGGCAGCAACCTCGGCCGGCACGCCCGCCGCCAACAACCGGCCCTCATGCCGTCCCACAACGCTCTGGAATATGACCTGCCCGACGACCACCCCGATCCCCAGCGCAATATGCCTCACAAACGCAAACGTCGCCGTCCCCGTCGCTACATCCGCCTGCCTCACCAGCGCCTGCAATGCAATAAGCAACGCTTGCAAATTGGGAGAGATGCCCAGCGCCGCGAGCACCTGAAACAGGATCAACCGCGGCCAGTCCCGTCCCGCGGGCAACGTCACAAACAACCCAAACGCAATCGCCGTGAGCGCCATCGACACCCGCACAATCTCAACGTACCGCCCCGTCTTCTTGATCGTCATCCCGACGCCGATAGTGCCGACCGCCAACGGCAGCGCCGTGGCGAGAAGCCACGCGCCCGACTGGATCGGGCTGGCGCCCAGCACTGCCTGGAAGTAGAGCGGTAAGAAAAACGCAATCGCCGCGAACCCGAGCCCGTGGCAGAAGTTGGCCACGTAGCAGAAGACGACCGATGAGTCGCGGAACAGCGAGGCCGGCATGAGCGGGTACTTTGCGAAACGCTCGACGAAAGCAAAGACGGTGTAGGTCGCGCAGCCGAAGACAATGAGACATATGACAGTGGGCGAGTCCCAGGGGTTCCGCAGCCCGCCAAACTGCAGTCCGAGGAGGAGCATCAACGTCGCTCCGGTGAAGGTGAGTGTGCCTAGCCAGTCAATGGCCGCCAGGCCCTTGGGAAGCGGCGTCTTGGGCGTGTGTATGCGCAAAAAGAAGACGAGGATGAGCAGCGACGCGCCAGAGATGGGCAGGTTAATCCAAAAGCACCACCGCCACGAAACATTCTCCGTCAGCCCGCCGCCGATGAGCGGTCCGATCCCGCTGGCGAGACCCCAAACCGCACCGACGGCACCGAAATACGCGCCCCTCTCCCGCGGGCTGAAGAGGTCCCCGACGGTGATGTTGACCAGCGCCATCAGCCCGCCGCCCCCGAGCCCCTGGACCGCTCTTCCCGCAACAAGCATCGTCAGCGTGCCGGAGAGCGCCGAGGCGAGGCTGCCGACCATGAAGACGACGTTGGCGATGACGAGAATCGGTTTGCGTCCGAAGATGTCGCTAACTTTGCCCCAGAAGGGGACCGAGGCGGCGTTGGCGAGCAGATAGCTCGCGCCGATCCAGGCAAACCCCGAGTCTGAGGACCCAATCTCCCGCGCGATCGTTGGTAGTGCGGTGGTGATGATGACGGCGTCGAGGGCCGCGAGGAAGACGGCCATGCAGAGCGCGAACATCAGGATGACGGTCTGGGCCCGGGTGCGGACCGGGGCGGTCTTTGTGTCTGCCGTCGTGACGCTCCCTTCCCCTTGGTCATCTTCGGCGCTCCTTCTCTTCTCCCGTACGCCTCCTCCTACTTTACCATCTTGATCGCCGTCGTCGCGCGGACTCCTGTCGTGAGAAGATCTTTCTACTTCACTCGCCATCGTGAACAGCGAGATACCTTGTTTGGTCGGGTACACGACATGCTGCCCTCAGCGAGCACCGCTTCCACAACCCACAACGCGGGACGGGCCTTAATATACATTCTTCGAGATCCTCAGAGAAACACTGATGGAACACCCTAAAGATGCCTTGGTTGTCGTTGATTTGCTAGAATGTCCCAGTGGCTCTGCGGCACAGCCTTATGGCCCGCGCCGCTGCCATTCACGAGAGCACATGTTCCTCGACATGAATAGGACCATGGCTTTTCCCAGCGCGCCGGACTTTTGGCTGCTTCGGTACGACCCACATTGCCGCAATGCGAGGGCATTCGACGCAGGGTGGTAGACTGAGAGAGAGGCCGTTGGAGCAAGATGTGGCTGCACGGCGCATGCGCGGGAGCCACACTCCCCATCCTCCCTTGCCTTATCCTTCACCTCTGCAATTAGAAGAAAAAGTTCCGGATCTTTCGTCCTGGTTGGTGGCTTTACGAGAGCGACACGTGGGGGCCGGTTCCACAATGCCTCTCATTCGCTCGGACATCGCCAAGTCTTCACTTTTCCCATGAGAACCACCCCAAGAATGACGCGCAGCGAATAACAAGACAGTCGGCGCCATATCCGGAAAGTACCAAAGGGGAAAGAGAGTAGAGGGTATCAAGCTTAAGATTAGCAAAACGTACAGCCGTACAGCGAATTTGCCCGTCCCGTGGGTTGGATCTGCAAAGAAAAGAGAAGGAGAGACACAAAAAGCCCCTGCCATGTCGGGCCGGACTTACGCCTCTTCGTTTTCGTGGGCTGATGCCGAGCGAATGAGAGAATTCCAACGTCAGCTTCGCATCAGCTCCCAATACTACTTGGATTGCTCCAACGGATGAGAGGGTGGGTTCCAAACAAAGGAGAAAGAACATTTCTCGCCCGGCCAGCCCATTCACTCATACTTTCCGGCGCAACGTTGAACGAGGCAGGGGGAAAGCGCCCAATCCGATCGCGTAACCGGACACGGCGTGAGCACTATATAGGCAGAATGCAAGGAACGGCGCGAAGCGCGAAAGCGGGAATAAGAAGGGGAGACGATGGTGAAGGGGCTTGCTAGAGGCTGAGCATCGTTTCCCGGCTCTCCGTACGTACGGGCTGACAACTGCGTTTCTGATAGGCACGATTATGCGGATTGCCGACTACAGAAGTTCAGACCGACGAGAGGTGACGAGTGCGAGTGTCTTTCGAATCTTCGTTGCAGACGACCAACTTCGCCTTGCGTAACGGTTCTTGCAGGATGCAGATGCAGTTCGTCGCCATCATCGTCCGGGAAACCTGTGCTCCGGGGAGCGTATGGGATGCGATCAACGCTCTGGCGGGCGGGAACTCGTCTATTTTGTCTTCATCGAGCGTGCCTCCCTGAGAGTTGATTCTCTGCTGAGCATCCACGGCTCAATTTACATGAATCTCGTATTCATGCCCTCAACTCGCCTGTTGCGACATCCCAAACGTTGACACGCGCGCGCCATGTGGTGACTCGTGGTGCTCGGTGATGTGGGTTACACATGTTGTCAAACCGCGTGCGAGCCTCGTGGGCCTCTCTGTCCTACATTCCTGATTGAGAGCTTGACGGAACGGGCCATCAGTGGAAACTTGCATCGTCGGCCTCGGAGGCCGGGTCAGAGGGAAATGAGACTCAATTCTGTCCTATGAAAGAATGACCAGCCGTCATTATTCCCTCCATCCTGCAACATACGAACCCGGGAGGCCGAAGCTGAGGGAAGTAAGCACTATATATCATAAATCAAATTCGAATTCGCAAGCGCGCCCACGAGGTAGGAGTGGCGATAGCGCAGGAGCATTGTCGTCGTCGCTACCTCGGTTCAACACGCAGTCCCGGCGATGGCGTAGCAGCACTTTCGCGGTCGAGTGGCGAATATCTCGAACGACGGCGTATCTAAACACGTATGGGGTATCATCAAAATGCAAAAACAACATAAACAGGAAAACTCCTCCATCACCGACTTGGAGTGTTTGTCTCCAAACCCTCCAAATTTCTCCTCCTCCTCTTACTCCCTTTTTTTTTTGTTTCCCATGAGACGAGCCATAATGCAATAGCGCAGCAGCATTGTTGCCAGTCATCGTCTCCAGTCCCGTACGCCATTTCCCAGCGATGGCGTAGAAGCACTGTCGCCGTCGAGGAATCCAGCCTCATTTCCGCCGCTCTTCGCCTGTAGCGCGGTGAACCAAGGCCATTCCCCGGATGAAAAAGCATATATAAACTTCGTATGGGCGTTGTATCGTAAATTGTCGAATGTGAAAGACGTATTAAAACGAGATGCCTGTAATTGGCGCAAGAAGATAATAGCAGGTTGAGCTGCCTCAGAACGGGGCATCGAGTAAATTGTCATTGAGAGCCGCGAGTGGTTGTTGAAGCTTCCGGAACAGAGTATGTTCCCGATGGTTGTCGGCTCTCTACCCCAAGATAGGGAACCATTTAGGCTTCCCGGTTTTGGTTGGAACGAGGGAACAACTTTCCAAAGCCTCGTTGCCGGGCCTCGCGTCTCGCGGCGCCGTCTTCAATCTCACTAGAGGAGTCGAGGCTCGAAATCTTGTTCACGGGCTTGTTTCCGAAGACCTTGAGCAGGAAGAACATGGCGAAGCTGCTGGCGATACTCAGGCAGAGAATGCCGATCATTGCGTAGTTGCTGCGACGGTACTGATAACGACCCTTGGCGGCGTCCTCTGGCCATCCAGTGTACAGAGCGTAGGTCGTGACAATGCTTCCAAGGTTGCCAAGGCCGGACACCAGAGCAGTCGCAGCCGCAACACCGACTTCACCGTGGCGGCGCTGGAAGATCTCGTTCGTCCATGTCATGCAATTGGGAACGGTCGGGCCAAGACCGAATCCAACCATTAGAAGACCACCGTAGCGAGCCCAACCATTATCGAGGGCAAAAGTTACGACAAGCAGACCGGCGATCTGAAGGCAAACCGCAGCTGAGAAGATGAATGGTCGGTAGCCGTGGAATCGATCTGAAATTGGCATCATTATGAGAATCGCAATCAAGTCCATCTGCATCTTGTTAATGAGTGCCCATGCAAGACAATACAAAGAACTTACGATCCAAATCGGAGCAAAAAGCAAGCTGACTTGGATACTCGTTGCCGTGGGCACAATAGAGCGGATGATGACAGATCCATAAAGCTGCGTACCGATTCCAACGCCAACGACGCCAAAGTACATGAAAGTCAAAGGCCACAGGCGCCAATCGATTAGCACCTGCAGAAGATCCTTCATAGTCCAGGGCCTAGGGTGATAGACCCGTCGGAGGTCATTGTAGTGAATGACGGCATCCTGGCCGGAAAGCGCTTCTGGGGTTGCTGGAAGCCACTTCAACCAGCTTGAGCGCTGACGCTTCTGTCCAGGAGGAAGAGGGCGATCGGGAAGCCACCAAAGCAAACAAAAGCCAAGAACCACGGCCACCAGGCCGTAGATGAGGAACATCCAGCGGAAACCAACGAGACCTCCCAAACCATCCATGAGTTGGAAACCAGCAGACACAAGGCCAACCACAGCAGCAGAGAGCTGGGCAGCAGTGAAGTACATGCCGATTCGCTTACCCGTTCGAGAAGGCGGGTAGAACAAGGTGAGGTAGTACGACATTCCAGGCCACATGCCCGCAATCACAACACCGAGCAAGAATCGTAGAAGCCTGGTTAAAAGGTTAGATCTGACAAGTAATTCGATTTGTTGTCAACATACTTGACACTCCAGGCGCTCTGCACGGCAGCGAAGCAGGTGCCAATGATACCGGTGGCAATGACAATGCGAGCCATCCAGATGCGAGGGCTCAGCTTGGCCATCACCAGATTGGAGGGGCAGTCGAAGATGACATAGGCCACGTAGAAAAGAGCCAAGGCGGTTGATGTGTCTTTAGCTGTGAGGCCGAGGACGGACATCAAGTCATGACCCTGAGCGGCATTCATTGTTTGCGCGATTCCAATATTGGACCTGATGGCAGAGCAAAGGAAGTAGAGCGTCCAGAATGCTATCAACCGTTAATCCCATAGTGTCGCTGGCGAGAAAGATGGGATGGTTACCTGGAATGATTCGAAGGTCGAGCTTCCTAGATGCCTGTCAGCTCCATCGTCTGACGCAAGTCATGGCTAATGAGGGTTTGCATGCGTACCTATAAACCCTCTCGACTGTTTCGACATCGTATTCTTCCGGCTCCTGATGAGATGGGCCGGCCGTAGGCTCCATAGTCGACGAGCCAGCTGGCGTACTGTACTCGTTGGGCTGTTTGTCATCGGCGCCATGCGCCTCCTCGTGTATGTGAGCCATACTTGACTACGAAGCAATGGGAGTGCCTGCTACGAGTCTTTTTCTGGTCACTCTCACGGACAGATGATAAAAAGGCAATTGGTGATCTCGGCGCTTGATTATTGGCTTGGGTCTTTGGAACCACGACCAATTTTGCAGAATTGAGCAGGGAGCTTCGCGATGGTGATCGAGGGTGGTGAAGTTTTCACTGTCTTGGGCGAGCGGATATCATGGGCATTTTAAGGCGTCACTTGCCGATGGGCTGGGAAGGTTGGAGGGGCACATCGGAGCTGATAGTGGATACCTCTGAGCAAGCAGCTAGGGCCGTCATCTTCAGGTGGTTCTGGCTTAGCTGCACTAGCAGATCTGGGCGGCCAGTCTCCCGAGGGACCAAAGGGAGGAGGAATTCGCTCTCAAAGACCTCCTTCTCACTCTTCTCTGATGGGCCGTTCTCGCCCAACAGAATGGCGCTCCACTCCGGGTGGCAGGATCAGTGTGCAGTTTGCGGTGCGATTGTCGGTGGCCCGCAGCGCAGCCCACATTGCCGAGCCTCAGCGACTCCGGACTCGGTCACTAAACTAATTAAAATTGAAGCGCCGTGACACCGGCCTCGAGTTGGGCCACAATGACATGAATCGACGGGAACAGTTCAGACCAATAGTGGTAAAGTTGCAGATGACTAGGTCTAGCATACGACAGAAGATGGCGGGAAGAGAGCGATTTAGATCAAGTCAAAGCGTCGATTAAACTGTCAAAGTCTTGAGGTGTTTTGAGGTTAGGAAGAAGAAAACACACCGTATTTCATAGCTTTCAAGTGTTCGCATGTACGACTAGACATGAGTCTAGAAAGAGTCCTCGGACAAGTCGCTACTGCAATAATTGGTGGCTGAATGCGCGGATAGTATTCTTACCTAGAAACCAGATGGTAGTGGTAGTGGTGGTGGTGGTGGTGGTGGTGGTGGTGGTGACCAAACGCACAGAAAATGGATGGTGGGGTTAATTTCAAGTGGTCGAGCGTCGCTTCAACCTCACAACTCCAGCTTCACTTTGACATACAGAAACACTAGGCTATCTATCTCAAGCTTCGTTGTCAGTCCTCGATCTCCTCTGTAATTATCTTGGAATTTGAGACCTTCATCCACTGCTATTGGATGCTTGGCGGACAATGCCATGGGCCGTCACAGCCTTAAGGCATCAAAAAGGTTTTGGCCTTAGCCTTTAGGAGTTGAGGGCAGATGCTCATCTCCTTCCCCCTTCTCCTCATCACAACCCCACTTCCTCCAGTCTCATCTCAATCACCACGTCAACTTGCTTTCCTCTTCATACGCGATACTGAATCTATCGCAGTCTGCAATTCGTCAAGATCGCACGTATTTACAGGCACTGTCCTGCCCGAGAACTCTCGCTCCTTATCTGCACGCTTCTCTTCGCGATATCACTGCCTGACTGGGTGCCTATCTACAACAGCTCGCCCTGCCTGATCGCCAGTCCGCCAACAACGTTGTCATACCTACACGCGACTACCTCATGCCGGCTTCTCTAGCTCACAAACTCAATTCGTTGGCTGCTTGCTTCACCGAAATGGTTATTGATCCACCTCGACGGAGTCCAGATCTATCTGTGAGCGGGGTAGTTCCCATCCTCCTCATGTCGTGGTAGTCGTTTCACCACGCCTGGCGATCCTGAACCGAGTCATCGGTGAACGTGACGAATAGGCTTCCAGAGGAACAGGCACTCGGCTTTCTTGGCTAGGGCCAAAACTTCGCATGAACAGAAGCTCTCCGCGGCCTAGACGTGTGGTACGCGGACTATTCAAGCAGCAGCGTCCCCAATGTTATAGGATGACGACTGTACTCCAAAAGAGGGAGGTGGTGTGGGCGATGACAACGATTCACGCTTTCGCGCCATGCCCAGACGCGCGAGTGCGAAGATGGGTATCATATACGCCGGGTCTACCAATAGGCAAGCTCGCGATATGGCCCAATGATCAAGTGACAACGGTCTTGTTGTGTACTCATTCACACTGACGTTTCTCACGCGGATATCTCGCCCACTAGCACGATGCCTGATCACGAAGCTCAACAGCCGTCTACTCACATTGAGCATCCCTCAAGAGGTAGTGTACGGTGAGAGCTGATGGCATCATTGAGCCTATTCACCATCTCCTCGGATCACACATTTGTCCATCGTCATAACCAACCAGTGTTGGAACCTTGACGCTGACCTGCTGAACGGCCTCATTGAGGCTGTGTGTGAATATCTACTTCTATACCTGTACCATATGAACTCTAGTGCGGCTCAGCTTCGCTAAAGATTACCAATCGCCGTCGAGGTATCGTGGATCTGGGGCTGTAAGCTCTTCTGGGACAATCCTCCGTAAGCAACAGGTGAGTCCTTGATCCCATCTCGAGCTATACACTTCCGAAATACTAAAGTACCTGAAAGAGCTTTAGGTGATGATCACGAGACAGCTGAATTCTCAAAATGCGCAGACCCTTGCGCCGGCAGCCTTGGAGGCCAACCTAATGCGTCGGCTGTGACTCACCTTGGTAGGCATCACGACGAAGGCTTGGTTACCATCGCCAACCAGATGGAGTCACAGGCTTTGCCGCCTAGACCTGGCAAACATATAATGTTCTAGGTATCTCTCCAGGTATGATTCTATGAAAACCCATCCAAGCTGAAGTACCATCAAGATTGTATCAGAGAAGCTAAAGACATATATCCTCAAAAGCTGGTGGGTTCCCTCATTGCTGTCTGTGCAAGCATCCAGCTTCTACCTTCAGCGCCACATCATCCAACAAGCGAAGAGTGGATACCGTGGCTGGTGGCGAAACTGACCGGGATCACGTGGATCACGGCTGAGTAATCCAAGTCCACGCCCATGTGGCTGACGCAGCTTGCTACCAGCTTCCACGTCTTCAGCCAGATTTTTCAGGCAGACTGACTTTTCTGCCTTTCGCAGCATCGGAGCTCATCACCTGCAAGCTTGACGAAGCGACGCGTTATCAAGTAACCGCAGTCGCAGTATCCCTCACTGCGGCGATCTCTTTATCTTTCTTGTCGAATCTTTATTTGTCGTTTTCCCTGCGATTTCCAGCAAACGACCCGGGAGTCGCGACTTCTTTCACGATCACGACCTCTTCCGATCATCATTTCTCCCCCATCACAAGCTTCATCCAGCATCCACAGGATAACCGTCAAAATGAGCGTCGTCTACGAACCCCGTAATTTCATGCACGATGGCTCGTATCCTCCCATCGGCGATCACGATCACGACCATGTCCTCGATCAGACTGGGCAGTACCAGGCGTCCGACGTCCCGGACCTCGCCTCCTACAACCCGACGTCCTCGATGCTCGGCGACGACCGGTCTCTCATGCCGGACGGTCTTGACGATGCCTCCGTTGGCGTCCCAGATGCGACGCGACTCGATCTTTCAGCGCCTCCCACTCTTACGTCCCTTCCTTCGAGTCTTCCTCCGGCGCTTCCCGAGCCCCTGCCATCAAACAACAAGGACGAGGGCGAGGCCTCGACTCCTACATCGAGGGTTAAGTGCATAGCAAAGCCTGAACGTGAGGTGACGAAACAGCCTGATGGAAAGTTTTACTGTACTTTCCCGGGATGCACGGAAGAGACTCAAATTTTCACCCGGAAATGCGAATGGAGGTAAGTCAACCAAACGTTGAAGCTTTTGACACTTTGTCATGATGCTGACCATTTTCTTCTCGCAGCAAACACATGGACAAACACGAGCGACCTTACCGATGCGCGGCTGAGGGTTGCGAAAAGCTTCCCGGCTTCACATACTCCGGCGGCCTCCTCCGCCACGAGCGCGAAGTTCACGGCAAGCACGGCGGTCCAAAGAACACGGTCAACTGTCCCCATCCGAACTGCAAGCGTCATACTGGCAAGGGCTTCTCACGGCAAGAGAACCTTAATGAGCATCTACGACGAGTACACACGAGCGACGGTTCCAGCACGGTCCAAGAAGACATCCAAACCGGTAGTGACGGTGACAGTGACAAGGCTATTGGATTCGGCGCAGGCAACAAGCGAAAGCGCTCCCGGAAGGGATCTGACGCTGGTCTGGACGAGCTGCGCGAGGAGATCAAGCGCGTACGCATGGAGAATGAAGAGTTGCGCCAGCAACTCGACAGACAGGGTCAGCACAGCTTCGCCATGATGTCGCAGATTGCAGAGCTCCAGGATGCGTTGCGGACGAACCTCGATCCGTCCGGACTCGGCGCTCCCACCGCCACGATGTTGTGACAATCAGACGCAACGCCTGCGCCTCTTCCCGAAAGCGACAGCTTCCTCCCGAACTTCCCGTTACGGCGTTACGACCACACCACCACACCCTAAGTTAACACCCGGCGGCCACAACTCATACTCCAGGCTTCCACATTGAACCTCCGCGTCCTCGACTCGACAACTCCCCGCACACACCAACCATCACACCACGTATACACTCTTACGACACACGCATCGACGAGGCGTTCTAGGCAGAAAACTGCTTTTTTATGATCCATACAATTCCGTTTTGTCTCCTTTGGCCGTGGTCACACGACGCCGTGTATAGTTTTAACGGCATGGGTAATTCAACAGAAAGGGGGAAACAGGCGTTCTACGGGATAATCGACACTCGACTTTTTTTCTTTTCCACGGCTTTCTACGGTGGCGAAGAAAGCCCAAGGACGATGACGACTACTTTTTGATATCCCCCCTCCCCTTCGCTACGCAGAGCGTTATGCAGAGGAAAACCAGAAAGATGGAACAAAAAAAAGGAAGAGAAATACCACATGTTTTTCCGGAGTTTATTTTCCACCCTCTTCTTTTTTTTTGACGGCAAATGGTAGATTGTACATTTCCCCTCTCCTCCTCCTCAACTCACGCCTTCCCCCTTCGCTTCTCAGGTTCTCCTCAGCACCGAAAACAACTTTTGTAATTCTATTACCTTGTATTGCGAACGATTATTCATTTTTAAGTGTGTAGTACCATAGACACGGGATGACCTTTGATGATAAAATGGCATCCTCCAACCCCCATAAATCAAGATGAAACTTCTCTTCTCCTCTTCAATGACAACTTAATCCGTCTCTTTGCAAAATATTGTAATACATTAGAGTTACCACAGACTATTTGGGACGTGGATGGTGATGACGTAAGCTTGGGTGCTGTACGCGTGAGGCCCGAAAAAAGGAAGCTGCACACGTTTTTACCGTGCGAAGAAAGAAATGGCTAGGAACGCGTTGTCACATGTGGCTTTTGCCTGAGGCAAAACACCAAGGTAGGCAGGGGTGTGGTTGCAGGATGCACGAGTGACGATCGTTGCCAGCTCGAAGTCCATGTAAAACTCCGCGACTCGTCTGGGCACTTGTGGTAGTGTACTCAGAGGTAATGGAAACCAACAGATGTTCTGTGCACAAAGAGGGCGTAGGCGCAATCTCAAAGGACACTTCTACGTGAGGAAACGGGGTAGATGAAGGCAAGACGAGAGTGGGCTGCATTTCCAGGCACTCAATCATGTTTAGCAACATGATGAAAATCCATTTCAATGACGGTCATTGAAATACACTTTGTTTGGATATCAGTTCTCGTCTACCTATACTCTTACATATCCCCGAGCTCAAAAGGCCCTCGTATCTATGGAAAGAGATGAGCCGTCAAATCTTACTTAACCCGTGACTTGAATCCAAGGTATTCTAACGCTTTCTTGTCGAGAGTACTTCCTCCCAAGCGTGTGAAGCTGCAGGAAAAGGCACTCCATGATAAGGCGTCAAAGGACATTGAAGTCTACAAAAATCAGAGATTCTCGGCATCTTAAGCAGAAGCTGGCAATAGACTCTGCCCCGGGAAAGAGAGAAAAGGAACATCTAGACATGAAATCTAGACCTCAAACACATCACCCACGCCCTCGGATCCGCCCCGCCGGTTCTCGACAAGGTCCAACCTCCACCCCTCCCAGTTCTTGAGCGTGCGCTTAATCTCTTTGATGCGCTCGATACGCTTCTTCGCGTCGTCCTCTTGCGCGCGGCGGAACGCGTCCTCGTCAAAGTCCATATCATCGTCGTCGAGGAGCAGCTCGTCATCTCCCGTCCCGGTGAGCGCATTGATTCCACTTTGGAAAAAGTCTCCGATACCACCGCCGGCTGCTTGCTTCCTCTGCGCTGATGGCGACGTGCCGCGGCTCCCGCCAAGGTCCACGTTCTCGAAGCTGGGGCTATTGAGCTCCCGGCGCTTCTCCTGCCAATGCCCGTGGCGAAGCTCGTATACCTCGGCTTCGAGGTCGCGTACCTTCTTCTCGAGACGCAGGCGCTCCTCGTTCTCGAGCTCATCGACACCGTCGTCATCCAGGCCGCCACCGCCCTCAGTGGACTTACGGCTCCGTAACCTCGTGTTCTCGCTCTCGAGGCTCTCAACCCGCGCCTTGAGTTCGCTGACCTCCTTCTCGGCGCGCTCCTTTTCCTTCCGCAACGTCTGGGTGCGCGTGTCTTGCTCCTTGTGAAGTGTGGTCAGCGTCGTAACCTTCTTTTCCAGGCCGTCGGCCTTCTTCTCGGCCTCCAGCCTGGCATCGATCGAGTCGGCGAGGTCGTGCTCCAAGCTGCGGAGCTTCGTCTCTGCGCTCGTGCGTTCGCTACCCTCACGGACAGCCTTTTCCGCCGTACGGTCGAGGTTCTTCCGCAAGTCAGTCAGTTCTTGCTGTGCCTTAGTGGCGGCCTTTTCAGATCGCGCGAGCTTCTCTTCCAGAGCCGCAATCTGCTCCTTCTCGGAGGACGTGCCGCTAGTCTGACGATCCACTTGTGCGCGGAGCTTTGATATTTCAATCTCCATCGACTCGATAGTGGCGGTTTTGGAGGCAAGCTGAGCCTCGAGCTCGGCTGGGGGAGAAGACATCGATACCGATGGCGAGGATCCGTGGCGGCCACCTGCACGGGAAGCTTGTTGCTGGAGCTGAGAGTTCTGGCGCTGAAGGGCCTCGATCTCGGATTTCTGTTTGGCATTTTATTAGCAAACTTTTAAGGGCGCATGGTCGTATAATATGATGCTTACTAGGTTTTCGACTTGGCTGTCTGGACCGCCCTTGCTCTCGCCCTCAGTCTCACGCAGATCAGCCAGCTCCTCCTCGGCCTTCTTCCACCTCCTCTCCGCATCGGTGGAGTCCTTGGCTAGACGCTTATTCTCTCTCTCAAGCTCCTCTATCCGAGCGTGCTGCTTTCGATAGATATCGGTGGCGGTCTCGCCTTCAGGAGCCTCGGCGCTGGGCGAAAGAGGACCATTGCCGGCGGAGACGGACCCTTGTCGGAAGGACGCAGAACGGAGCTTGGACTGCTGAGCTAGCGAAGGTTGAGATGCAGTTGGCGATGCTGGTTGCTCCGCGATAGCTTCCGTAGCTTCCTTCTCGTCCTCTTTTGTGTCTTCGGTGGCAGGATCGGCGGGTGTCGTGGGTTCGGCTTCGGGGTCCTTGTCCTTCGAGACGCTGGCTTCTGCCGCTGTTGGCTCGGCCTTTTCCTTCTTGGATGAGCCAGCGGCCTTCTTTGTCTTCTTCTTTTTCAATTCTTCCACCTAGCAAGCTGTGAGTATTAGACCGATGGTGATCGCACCGCAAGTAAACCTACTCGCTTTCTGGCGGCGGCGAGCTTTTCGGCCTTGGCCTTCTCTTCAGCGTCGGCCATTATGCAGGCAACAGTGCTTGGGTTTGTTGCGAATCGAAATCAAGTGAGTTCTAGGTGCTGTTGCCGAACGTTGTCACAAAGAGGTTGTCGTGAATGCGGAATGTAAAGTTGGATATTTGATGCGGTTTGAGCGCTTCAGCCTCGAGCCCAGGAGCTTAGCTGTCCACTCGTGTCAAGAACAAGCCACATTCCACCTGCACTCATCCGTAGTGTTTGTGGTTGACAGGGCCCCCCCCCCCCCAATGACGAAGGCAGGCGCAATAGCTATGCGTGGAGTGTGCTAAACATACAGGGGCCACCCCTCCTGTTCCGATGAACTCCCTTCTTGCCGTTTAGACAAAATCGAACAATACTCCAACCTCCAACAACCGATTATTTCCTCCGTGATAAGATTTACATCCTCCCAGAAACCATCTCCCTCCTTCATTAGATATAGTATTTTCTCTCTGTAACGCTGGTCTATCGAGATTCAGAACCATTCAAGATATTGCACCTGTTCTGCTCTCAGCATCTATCGATCTCACTAACACCGTCTCGCCACTGGTGGTCATCAAGATGCAATAATCGCCCAAACCCAAACATCATGCCGTTCATGCCGTTCTTATGAAAGCTATCGAATGAAGAGATGCATACATCGCAACAACAAATAGCAAAAAATCAACATGTTCCCAAGCGGGCCTCCTGCCGTCTGACCGACGCGACGAACACCCTCCATCCCCCTGCACATCCTTTGGCCCACCCAGCCGTCGTCTTTCAATGCGTTGGCGCCTTACATCGCCTTCTCAGTGTCCCAATCGCTCAAACCTTTGCCCTTGGGCACCGCCTGATTGGCAAGCTCTTCCTCGTTTCAACTGCGCTGATATCCAGTTGGCACCGGACCAGCGTCTGAAATGGATGCAAGTTGCATCTTGGCCCCCAGTGAAGGACCCTGTCTACCTGCCAGCGCGGGAACGCATCGAGCCAGGGGGCAGGGGGCTAAAGGGGGGTGAGCGTCTCGTTCGTTAGTTCCTTGAAAGACGTCCGCCCTGCTCTACAAGGGACGACTTGGCTAATTCAAGATGATTGGAGGTGCCGCGGCAACAAACGACCCAAGCACAATTATGCAGCTCGAACATTAAAGCATGTTGAGAGCTGACATGTTCTGGAAAACATGTCCTGCTCAACTCTCGTCCATCCTCTCAGCTTTTGCTGGAGGAATGGAACAGAGGAGCGACGGCGAGGAGCCATGGGGCAGTGTGTATCGAGCAGCAATGCTGGCGCAGGCACCAGCGATGCCGAAAGGCCTGACGCTCGCTGTCAAACTCCCGGCTGCCAGAGAGTCTGCGATCCAGGGTCCAAATCACGATACTGCACTCAGCATGCCGTCTGTAGACGGCAGGGATGCGTGAGGCCTCGATACCGCAAGGGCCCATATTGTCAGGAACACATGTGTAAGTGTTCCACCAGGCCGCTTCGGCCTTTCGACAACGTACGACTTCTCTCTGACTCCAGGACCAGATACGTGTCGAGTCTCCAGATGTCCCAATAATCAAGCCAAACTTCACGATGCGCGATTTACCAATCATTTATGCTGGGACCACCAACCCCCCGAAGTCC